AAATATGCCTCTTCTTTACAAAGACCTATTTCCACCCTATACATTTTATGTACCATACCCATGAATAAATTTTCATTTAAATGAGAGGCATGCCGGAAGTGGCAAAGAAAATCAGTTAAGTGTCCACTGCCAAGTTATGAAGAAGCTGGGAAAGGAAGCTCTATAGGAATAATTATAACTGTGATAATAGTGATGCTAAAGTCTTGATCTGATCCCGCAGTGGGGCTCAGAGGTGGCCCTGAGTTCTAGAAGCTGATTAGTGGTATTAAAAATTGAACAAGTCCTTGTGTGGTCTGATGCTGAGTGAAGTGAGCAGAACCAGGAGTACATTGTACACAATAACAGCCACGTTGTGCCATGACTAATATTGATAGACTTAACCCTTCCCAGCAATACAAGGATCTAAGACATCTCCAAAGGCCGTGTGGTGGAAAATGCTATCCACATCCAAAGAAAGAACTATGGAGTTTGAATGTAGATCGAAGCATACTATTTGCTATATTTTTTCTTCTATTGAGTTTTGTTTCCTTTCCTGGTGGTTCCTCCTATTGGTTCCAATTCTTGCTTACAACAGCACTAATGTGAAAATATGTTTAATCGGAATGTAAATGTATAGCCTGTATCAGATTGTGCGCTGTCTTGGGGTGGGCAGGAAGGGGGAGAAAAATTTTAAACTCAAAAGCATATGGAAGTGATTGTTGATAAATCAAAATAAATTTTTAAAAAAGAGCTGAACAAGTCTTGCCAAGCTAGAATGGCTTTGAATATGGCCCTAGCATTTATTGTGAGAGAAGCATAATTTTAGAGTTTAGAGATGCTCATCAGAAGTTGGCTTCAAGGTCAGGAAGCTCGTGGTCACAGGAATAGTCAAAGACCACCTATTCAGTGATAGAGAAGTTCTGCGTTACATCGATGTAAGAAGTATCCACAAAGGTATGAAAATATTAAGTAATAACAGTAACCATTCGAGCTTATCTAGTGTGTTCTGGTTTAAAAGAGTACCTTTCCCAAAAGAACCTCTGGGTCATACAAAGTAACACAATCTGGGGTTTACAGCTAAGGAAACTGAGGCTTGACAAGCTAAACTGACTGGCACAGCCACACTGGTAGTCCGAGAGCTGGAACTCAAACGCAGGTTTTCCACAGCAGGTTTAGCGCTCTTTCCACCACAATGAGTAGTGCCTTATAACCAAGAGCCCTAATCTTGGCAGTGCTCTGATCTTAGTCCTTCCCCAGGCTTCTCGCAAACTCTTTATGAGTCGGTATGGCAGTGAATCCTTCCCTCATCTGTCTCAGAAGAACACAGGCTAAGAATCCTGTTGTGAGAGAAGTGTTCCTTGCTATGACTGGGAAGCTTTTAAAACCAGAAATTTAGCAGTGAAGATGGGCAAGGAGGCTTTCCTTCACAAAACTGAGTAAATGTGGACCGCTTTCAAAGGGCCCAACTCTCATTTTCTGCACACCTCCAGTAGGGTGCAAAAGCCCACTGTATACGATGGTAGAGAGAAAAAGGAGATTAGGGTCTGCAATCTGGGGAAGGTACCAATACTAGTATTCCCAAGCTACACTAAATAGATATCATGGAGATCTGAAGCAGGTCTATAAAACAGTTAATAGCTAATTTCTTAAGAATAACTAGGTATATTTAAAGACTGAAATGTAACAAAAAAAATCAAGCATCATCATAGCTAGCATTTTAATCTTTAAGCAAAAATATTATATTTATTAAAAGATTTACTTTATTTGTTAAAATACTTAACATGGTATTTTAATTTTGGCAAAACCCTTTATATGTATTATCTCATTTGATCCTCACAAAAACCCTACAGTGCAGGTGCTATTATTATCTTCATTTTAGAAATGAAGAAAACTGAGGCTGACAGAGGTTAAGTGACTTGACCAGAGTCGCACAGCTAAGTGCCCGAGGCAGAACTGAAATCAGGTCTTCCAACCAGAAATCCAGCCTCCTAGTTGCTCAGATAAAACATTAAACTCTAAGCTTTAGGTTCAAGAAATAGTGCTTTTACCGCCTACTAGTGACTATTTGTTATACATGCAAAGTTAAATAATAATATAATAGGAGTATTAAAAGGTATAACTAAGCATGATAATAAATTTTAAGTTCCAACCAAAATCCCACCTTCTACAGGATGTCTTCCCAACCAATCCCTCTCTCATTCTAGTGACTTCCCTCTTTTAATTACTTCCTATTTATGCTGTACAGAGTTTGCTTTCTATAGATTTGCTTACACGTTGCCTCCCTCATTAGAGTGTAAGCTCCTTTGAGGGCAGGGACTGTCTTTTGCCTCTTTTTGTATCCTCCGGGCTTAGCACAGTGCCTGGCATATACTAAACACTTAATACATGTTTACTGATTGATCATTTTTTGGCTCTACATAGCTTTGGTCAGATGAATTTTCAGATTTAAAATCCAGGTATATCTTATAGGCTTGGGCTTGAGACACAAATTTAAGCCATGATGACAGCATTGTTTTGGGACAGCAAGGTGGAATAGTAGACAGGTCCTAAGTCAGGAAGACTCATCTTCTTAAGTTCAAATCTGACTTTAAACATTTACTAGCTGTATGACCTTGGGCAAGCCACTTCACCCTATTTGCCTCAGTTTCCTCATCAGTAAAATCAGCCAGAGAAGAAAATGGCAAAGCAATCTATCTCTGCCAAGAAAAACCCAAATGGGATCACAAATAGTTGGACACAAATGAAACGACGACTGAACAAAAAAACAACATTATAGGAAAGAAAACTAATAGTATTATTTTTTAAAAAACTTAAAATTTGACTACTTTCCAAAGGTAAGGAGGCAGCAATAATCTTTCAATTTCCCCAGGCCCCATCCCTCTCCTAACCTCACCAAAACAAAAGCGAAAAACATACTTTTTTTTCCTTATCCCAAGGTCTTGCCATTTTAGTTTATACCAGATCTGCAATAAATTCTAGGTTCCCGCAGGACCAAAGAAGTCTAGTCATATGTCGTGTGAAAAACCAAACTTAATGACATTACAAGTTCAATTAAGCCAACATGTGCTGCTGGGCAGGGAAGCTGGTGCAGTATTGTTTTTGTTGGCCTGGGCATGTGAAATAGCATCACTGCTGGCCAACCTGGGCCCAGATACGACTTTTAGAGATGAACAAAATAATAGGTACGGGGTAGTCATAGTCATTTAAAGGAGGAAAAGTTTTACTACCCAATGCCTTTCAGATTTGCCTTCCAAGGTAATCACAAATCAAGAAAAGATAGGCTCATGCTTCCAGACCTCAGGTCCTCTGATTATCCCAGGTCTGGAAGTTACCAGGAAAGACCATCCGGTCCAAACTCTGACTTCTTATCTGTGCGTGAGAGATGGGTGTCTACTCCCTTCATAAACATCTCCAGGAACTTTACTTGGGCATATTCAAGTAATGAGCAGTGTGGTGTGGATGGAAAGTTGGTCTCCATTAAGAAGAGTCCAGCCTCTGATAAATATTGTCTATGGCACCCTGGGCAAGTCACTTAAGAGCATAGGTTATAAAATAAGTACTGATCAATGGGAGCTTTCTATGCCAATAAAATCACAGGTTCTTCACTTAGACTAGCTCAAAAGTGTTTAACACAGAGCCCACTGGGCACTTAACATTTCCAAGTGCAGCTGGAACCAGTTTAAAATGTAACTGGGAAATAAAACTACACACACACACACACACACACACACACACACACACACACGAACTGCTTACATTGAGATTGCCCAAGAAAGCTCTTCCAACAAGGCCTCCACAATTCCCCAGCCCACCTCCCCATTCCATGTCTAAAGCATCCAGAAGACAAGGGCATTTAGCTATTTCTATCCCCTAAGAGATGCAACATCATTCATTCAACCAATAGTTCATTTAAAGACTCATTTCCCACCCAGCTGCTCTCCTGAACTTCATGCTCTTCAGAAACTCATTATTTCTGCAAGATGAAATCAACTCTAACCCTCACACCTCCTCAGCACCCCTTGCTCATGTCACCCTCCCTCCCTCCCTCTGGTTGGAGAGGAGACATCTGGAAGCTCCTCCTATATCTTCCACCACTTGAAGGAGGGAGAATGCTTAGGACATTCATCTCCATCATTTCCCAACAGGCTACTCTCCTGGACTTCAGGGTCTCCAGAAACTCACCATTCTGCAAGATGAAATCAACTCTAAAACTCATCCCATCTAAGGTTATTTCCCAACCCGGCTGCAGGACTTCTTCATGTACTCCACCACAACCCTCCATTTTCTTTTTAGGTTCTTTTTATGTGTTGCTTCCCCTGTTAGATGTGAGCTCCTTGAGGGCAGGAACTGTCTTATGCCTTTCTTTGTATCTTCAGTGCCTCTGGAAGGCACTTAATAAATGTTTATTGACTCTGTGACTCTGAAGCAGTCATTCAATCCCTATCAATTCCATCTGTATTCAGGGTTTATTAGACCCTTTTCAGAGAGCTTTTGATAGGTAGGTGAGCACAGGCTACTAACATGGTCATTGTTCTTCTAGGGCAAGGAGGGAGGGGAAGGGGTGCAGAACACAGAGGCCAGCAATGCAAAAAAAGCAAATTTTGGCTCTCTTCCTCTTTCTTTTTTTTCTTTAAATTTTTTTTTGGTTGTTATAAAGGATCATTCTCTGGGAGGGTAGATTGATGCAGGGAGAAATCTAGGTAATATACAATCAAAAGATATCAACAAAAATCTGTTTAAAAAGAGAACTTGATGGAACTCTGAGTCTAATGCAAGTAAATAACAAAGTTCTCTAATAATATCTAAATATTTTTCAATAATAATCAATTTTATTTATTTGGTCAGAAATGGATAAAACCAAAATGCTTACTTATGTCTCTGATCATAGCTGGCATTTTATAGACAGAAATCAAGAGTCATGTGATTTCTGAAGGAAGGAGGGACAAAGAAAAGCTTTAGGAAAGTGTGTCGCGAGCCCAAGACCACTAGGTCAGGAGCCATTTCTTTCTGATAACACTCACCGAGTCTGGGTCTCGCTGCTGTTCAAGAAAAGCTGAGAACTCCACAAGTCGAAGTTTGGTTGTCCCAATGGAACGGCCCTGCCATGCAGGAACTGAGGGTGCTGGTGCGGATGTAGGCTCGAACCCTGAAACACCAACCAACCATGACCTTCAGGCTCTAGCCATTCATCTAAATTAAACATGGATTCCTTCCCAAGATCTGCAGGCTCCTTAAGGAGACAATGTTCTTAACAACTCAATTTGAACCCAGGTTTGGGGAGGAAGGACAACCAGTTGCATTAGCATCCCAAGACAGACCCAAGCCAATGAGCTGCAGTTGTACAAAGGGTTTTTACAAAGGCTACACAACCCTAGTAGACTAAAATTCCTTCCTTATTTTTCTGACATTCAGCAAATGTTTCAGGGTAAAGATTCTCTAAGATTTTTAGTCTTTGGCAGTCTAGTGAAACTTATGGACCCCTTCTCAGAATAGTGGTTTTAAATATATAAAATAAAATACACATGATCATAAAAGAAACCTATCATATTGAAATATGGTTATCCAAATATATATTTTTAAAGTTTTACATTGACTGGTTTTGCTAATTTTTGTTCTTTTCTTCCTCTCTGTCTTTCACAAACTATTTGTTACATGAGATGGCTGTCTGGGAGTAGGGAAGTAATATGGAGGAATATTAAGTCAATGTAAAAATTTATTTAAAAATATCAGCTCATGGACCTTGCTCACCACCCCTCCCCCAATCTATCACACTTAAGGTTAACTCTATCAATCTACTAGGTTAAGAATTCTTTTTCAATAGAGATGCCTTTTTCTCTCCAAAGATAGAATTAGAAATACAGATAATTTCCCAGGAGACCATGACAAGCCTCATTACCTTGCTTAGCATCACCTCCATGAGAGAGCTGTCCCCATCATTAGAAAATAAACCCTGAGCATGGACCATGCTCTCAGAGATAAAGAGCAGAGGAGGATACAGAAAAGAATCTTTGCTTTCTGGAGAGTTTACAAACTAAAGAAAGAGGCTAGCACTCCTGTCTTCTGTACTTGGGAGAAGTAAGAATAGCAATGAGGACTAGATGAATGTTTACAACAGCCTTGCCTTAGCTTGTCCTGTGTGAAAGAGCAGTCTGGTAGCTTCTAATGAAAGTCATGGTTCTGACAGAAACAGACAGGAATCCTGTTCATCGCTCTAACAGGCTCTTAAAAGGCTGCCATTAGGAGCACAGGACTTCTTGTTGACACATTATAAACATAGTTTATAATGATTTAGGGGTCCCCAGTTTGTATATGTAGTTCTGGGCTCTCTCTTAGGCACAGGAGACCTGGAAGTAGCAGTACCTCCCAGACCACCAGTCCTGTGTCCAGCCTGGTCCTCACAGCCATCATTTGTGGAAGAAACTCCTGTGGAGACAGGGTCAGTTATCCAATTGCTACCTACAGGGTAGCCTAGCTGAAACAGCATGGCACCCAGAGGAGGAGAAAGAAAGCAACATATGCCAGGCAAATCAGACTAACACCATCATCTTGACCACTAAGTCCCCTCAGACCCTGATGGAAGCAGTCCAGGACCCTGAGCCCAAGAGCCTTGGCAACAAATAGCCCAGTGCCCTTGGCCATCACCCTGGAAAGCAGCCACTATGGAGATGCTACTTGGTCACTGCTCCTGCCATTGCTAAAGTCACAGCTTCTTAAGACCCAGCAAAGAAAGTTCTTGCCACTAAAGTTGTTGGCACCATCAAATGGTTCAACATTAGAAACTGGTATTTTATCAATGGAAATGACATTAAATAAGAGGCATTACTATCGATTTGGGGACCTTCCTATCTAACTTGCTGCTGAAACCTTCCCGTCAGAATAGAAGCTCCTTGAGAGTAGCCACTGACTCATCTTTCTAGCTTATCTCCAATGCTCAGCACGGCTTTGCACATAATAAGCACTTACTCAATGTTTCATTCATTTATTCATTCTTCAACACTGGGGGGGGGAGTACTCACACTAATTATGCCTAATTAAGAGAGATGTATGAGGCTACAGAGAAGGTGACAGCCTTGTATGACATCTGCAGAACAATGGGGCTTTACAAACTCCCCATGGTGCCTTGGGAAGGGTACCCAAAGGAGACTTACCTGGAATGGGGGCAGTGACTGTGGGCTGGATGGGATAGGCCTGCTGAACGAAGGGCTTGACGCTAGAAAAAAAGGGACAGAGAAAGTCACATTAAGACCATATGGGGCAGAAGAAAAACGGACTACTCAAGAAGCGAATCTAAACTCACTAAGAAGAACAGTGCCTTTCTCTGACCAGAAGGCATACAAAACTCTTGTTGTATGGACAGGTTCTGAGATAGGACGCCAAGGAACAACTTCCCTTCCTAAACTGTGTCTGGAGAAAAAATGGGAGGCCTTTAGAGGGGGAGGACAAAGCAAAGCGGAGTGGCAAGTGATAATGAACTGAGAAGGAAGGAACCCTACGGACACCACGAAACAGTTCCTTTCATTGCTGGTCCAGTGGAAAGGATGCTAAGTATGGTGCCAGAGGAGCTGAGATCCAATGGTGACTCTGCTCCTCGCTGTCCAGTGAAACTGGGCAAGCCACTCACTCCCTGTCCCTCAGCTTCCTCCACTGAGGCAGTGGGGGCTGAGATGGATTCAAAGGTCCCCTCCGGCTCTCACTCCAGCATCCTAAGACCCCCTAAGGGAATGGCATTTACCATCAACTCCACCATGTTCGCCATCCATAGACTCAAACCCTCTAAAGTTGTCTTCCTAATATCTAATGCAGCCACATGCCCCTGTTTTATTCTCTGAAGAGACAGACAGGTATTTTCTATACAGCACCATGAGAGATGCTAAGTGACCTCCTTGAGCTTCTCTTATTATAAAGGCTAAAAGAAAATAATCTTAATTCTTTTGAAAGGCAACTCAGTATATATAAAGGAAAAAAATCCTAGACTCCATGTTAGCCCAAGGCTAAAGGTCGGACCTACATTCTTAGGAAATGTGTGACTCTGAACAAGCCTCTCAATCTCTCCAAGTTTCAGGTTCTTCATATGCAGATGGCATGGGTACCGCCTGGCCTGCCTACCTTACAGGGTGGTTAGAAGATGGATTTTTGGTTATACAGAGATTTGAAAATTGCAAGCATATCACAAAGAAAGGATGTGGCAATGCCCTCTAATATGGGAAATGGGGTCAATCCCTTGGAAAGCTTCCAGCCTCCAGGAATACAAAGATCCTCCATCCCCATAAATCCCTGTGTTGTAGAAAGCCACCAACTGAAGGTATGGAGGAGGCCTTCTCATCCAGTCCATACCTGAGCTAGAATCAGCTCTAAAACATCCCTATCAAACACCCCTCTCCAGTTTTGCGCTAAAAATCTCTGGAGCAGAGGTTCCCAACCGTTACCATGTACCCTCTGGCTTTCAGTAAACTTAACCATGATTCCTATTCAATCTGAAAGGGAATTGATTCTGGAATTTACTATACACATTTGAGAGATAAACTGGATCCCTTTTTAAATCACTTTTAGAAGCAGAACTATATAAATTAAGCAGAATTTTTAACTTCATTGATTGGAAATTAATTCCAAAAAAATCAAATCAAAATTTTCCCTATATCCTCTTGAAAGCTTCTCCAGGTTGGGAACCCCTGCATTTGAGTGAAGGTGAAATCACAGCTTCTTGAGGCAGTCCACTCTATTTTGAATAGCTCTAGCTTATGACTTTTAGGGAGAAGAAATTAATTAATGATGCTAACACAATTGCATTCACAAACAGCTCGTTATTTAGAAAGCTGATTGTTTCAGTGAGATTAAAGGAACAGCTTGCCTGAATTTATATGACTCTGAATTATATAATATTTGAGAGGGTTTTGGTCTGTTTGTGGGTTTTTCTTCGGTGGAGTTCAGACTGTGACTTTTATCAGTGTAGAGAATTGCTGGTGAGGAAACCCTTCTAAAGATACAGACCAACAATTGTCTAGCAATTAGAAATCTTGAGTTGCCTGGGGCAGTGAGATAGGGCCTCACAGCCAATGTGTCAGAGGAAGGAACTGAGCACAGGTCTTCCTGACTCCAAGACCAAGTCTCTGGTCCACTGTTCCACTCTGTCCCGTGAAAGGTACTTTTCTAGCTCTTGAGACCAGAGTGGACTTCAAACTCCCAAGACAGGAACTTCTATGAAGTGAAAAGCACTACCCACTTATAAGATTTTTGTATACTGAGTTTTAGAATAAGTTGTCACCGTATAAAATGGCAATTTTTCAAAGGGGACTCAAATGCTTTGGTGATTATTCCTCCTCTAACCTTATTATGCCATTTGCTTAGTAAACCATTTCTTCATAGACAAAGCGAAGCCAGAGTGGACGACACTGCTCAGCAATCCCAAAATTGTACATTTGGAATGAATGCGGCTTCACTATGGCGGATACTTTCCCTAAAGGTTGAATTCAATATAGCCTCAACCTCACTGGACCTTAAGAGTGTCTGTCTGGAAAATCAGGAAGTCAGGCCAGATGATCTCCAAAAGTTGTTCCAACTTGAACACCCCATATTTCCCTGTCTTTTGGCAGCTCGTTTTCCAGACACGCATATAATAAGTGGTTTTTTGTTGTTGTTTTTTTAAATAAGGCCCTACATTTTAAACTTACTCTTGTGAAGATCCCGGCTGACCTGTCTGTATCATTCCTGGCCAGAACTGTAAAAGATATTTAATAATTAAGAATAATTTCTGCAAAACACACACACACATTATAATGCTAAAACTTTGACACTTCAGTGATTCCTGACATTACTGTTGCAATCTCTGCCTCCCCCAACAGAGATTACAAGTTAACCACACCTTAGTAGACAATCTTCTTGAGTTGTTGCTCCCCTCCTCCCCCATCCCCCATTCATCTCCCCGAGATCAGTCCTCCATGGATGATTCTCTCTACACTTAATTAATCGAGCCTTTGAACAAAAAACACATAGGCCATCACTGGTCCACACTTCCAGCTTGGCAATACCTGACCAAGATGGCATTCCATTACTTTAGCTTTTGAGGACCCAGGGCCACCTTTCATACTTTCATAAGGCAAGCAAGCAGACCTGAAGACTTGAAGCAGACTAGAAGCATAAGAACCTAAGGTTAGGTGACAGGGAAGTCCTTAGGAAACAAAATCTAACCTTGATGTTATAATGCTAGTTTGCCTCTACAGTGTTTCCAAATTCTCTAGGACTTCACCCACTGCCATTCCCTCTTCCCCCAGATAAGCCCAGCCTTTTGTGTTCAACATTTGTCTCCCTCTATAAATCTGGCCCCCTGTTTCCTATCCAACATCTCCTCCCACTATCCCCTTGTATGAATCATCCCTTTAAAAGGGCAAGAATCATGTATCATAAACTTTCACATGGCTCACAGAACCCAGTGTAATTCTGCATATAAAGCAGTGGCTCAATGAATATTCCGTTGCTGATGCGTAGATTTTAATCCTTCCCCTTCACGGTAAGAGCGTAAGCTTCTTGAGGACAGAGATCTTGGCATCCTAGTGCCTGGCACAGCGCTGACCCCACAGTAAAGGCTTAATAAATGCTTACTGAATGATTATCCACCTGCCTTGATACTCCTGAGTCCCCTGCAAATTGAATGAGAACTGAATTCTCCAAAACAATACAGGTCCCTTGAAGGCAGGGATATTGTCTTTGTCTGTATATGCACAGTGCCCAACGCGGTTCCTTGCACATAATGGTCGCAATAAATATTTGCTGAATTGAACTGAATTCCTTGCTACCATAGCTCAAGGTAACTTCAGGAAAGTACGAGAGGGTGTCTGAAGGCAGAGCTTAATGAAATCCGAGGAGCTACCTTGCTTCTTGCCCCCTTCTTGTCCTCTACTTAGCGCTAAGTCACAGGGGAAGACAAAGCAGGATTCGGTTTGCCTATTTCCAAGGGTAAAGAAGGGACAAAGTCCTTAATCGGAAAAAGATCCCAATAAGAGATAACTCTAACCTTCCATCACTGGGGGAACTCTTCTCTAAGTGGGTTCCAAGTTAAAGGATCCCTTAAGGGTCTCCTCAATGGGTCTTACTCGGTACAGTCCGACCACCAGGAGTTTTCTTTACATTACATGGAATACGACTACAGAGGAGAGCTAGTACTGTCCTATTAGACCACTAATCCTGCTTGTCACTGCTGGGGCAGAAATGTTTATTGAAATGAGCTAATGGCTTACCCCTGGTGCGCCAGGAAACGTGGGGCGTGGGATTCCCGGCAGTCCCAGCTTGTTGTGAATGGCCGTCGCTGAGACTATCTGGGCCGATGACATGGCCGCCATGTGCTGCAATGCTTTATCCTTCGCTGTCTGATCCTTTAATGTGACAGTTACACACTGTCTTAATACAAGGCGACAATCTAACGATCAGCTTAGAACAGCTGCAGCTATTAGCACTTATAACTAAAATGTAAAAGCCACCAAAAAAATGCCCAAAACAAAGCAACCATGCATAGATAAATACAGCCAGAAGGCTCAACTCTACTTAACCTACCTTGACAACAAAGGTTTTTTTCTAATACCCAACTGTACAAATATTCTAGTATTTATATCCTTTCCTGAAAACTCTCGTTTTTAACATATTCAAAATGAGAATGAGCAATATGTCTTTCAACTCTGGGGGTGAAAATTCAGTTACTGATTCGCTCAAGAAGAGAGGTGGCAGGGAGGCCATCTATTTCTGAACACACTGGCCAAGGGATCTAAGGTTTGGAAATGGGTTTGGGGTCCGTGAGTCAAGCCCTGAAAAGGATAGATTGGAATTGTAGGGATCTTCACGCACTTCTCCCAAACACAAGGGCTCCTGAATGCAGGTGGGATGCTGAAACACTGGTTAAAAGAACTAGTGGTGAAGGAAGGCCAGAAGCAAAAATGCAAGGTCACTTGTATAAGCAAACTGGCAGACATGCTTGGGGGGGGCAGGGGCGGCATGCTCTCTTAGATACACAAGATGTGTTTCCTTTAAAGCTGAAAGCATGTGTAGTAATGCTAACTTTCAAATGCTCCTTTTAGAAAACAGCAAAGGCTGAAGATACAGTCAAAGCTAGCCAAAAATTCTGCCAAGCACAGCTCAAGTATATCATACTTGGTTTAATGAAAATACTTACCATGCTTGTTACCTGGATACAATAACAAACAGTTTGTTAAAATGGTTGTGGTACAACAGCAGGATGTTTTTCTTCAATAAAAAAGTATATATATATATATATATCTATCTATGTATGTAGCATGTATGTGTGTACATATGTATGTATACAGACATACATGCATATATTAGGGTATAAAACATATAAAAATAAGCTTCCCCATGTGTCAGAACAATTTATGTATTCACCCAGAGATTGATCAAAAAATGATTACCCCAGCCTCCTCCCCCAAACATAACAAAGCAAGTCTTAAGCTGATTTTGTAGTTTGTTTTTCCCCAAATACAGATAATACAGTCTAATAGAAGCCCAAATTGGAAAGTGATCGAAGTCCTCATGTCAGCAACTCCCACTACCAAAGGGAAGGCAATTTATATTTGGCTGCCATAAGCAAACACAGGAGGGATCGCTTCTTCTGGGTGAATGTGCTATGAACAGTTAATAGAATTTCCGCACAAGCACCAGGCAGGAAGAGAAACTTGCAGGTAAAACACACATGCCTGTGGCACCTGAATCTGTGTGCCATCCACCCGGAGAAACTCAGCGACAAAAGATGGATTCATTCCTTCCCACACATCAAAGCAGCAATCACTCGATGACAGAGAAACAAAACCAGTTTATGGCCACGTACAAAGCTGTCACTCCTAATTAAAGGGACGCTGGTAAGCTGTGGCTTCAGGTCAAGGAAACCAGTACAAGCCGAGACAGACGTCATCGAAATGTTTACAGATTCTACCAAAGCAGTGGAACCATCGTAGATGAACACCCTGAGTGCTGTGTCGAAACTGGCATGATACATTGGCTAATCTGAACGAGACAGCAATACCTCACTGGCTTCTTATCCTCTCACACACAAGATCTGTCCCATATAACTGGAGTTTCATTCCTGAAGCCTGCAATATCTTTTTTTTTTTTAACCATTTTTGGATAAAAATCTTTCTAAACCACATCCATCCCCTACCTTCATAAACAAAGGATACCAAACACAACTAACCCTTTTTTGGTAAGTCAGAGCCATCATTAGGATGTAACCGTGCAGAATAAACACTGTATAGAAACGGCCTCAGGGTCTATTGCTGATTCATAGCTGAATAGGCCTGGGAATCCCCTTTGAACTCAAGTCTTAGTGTGGACCTTTGAAGACGCCTCCCTCCCTGGGAGCTGTCTTTTCTGAGTTTCAGCTTTTACTAGCCTACTTCACTTTGTTGTTTCCAATCTTGTCGCTACTGTATTGTTTCTAATCAATCATATGGTACTATGCCGAACTTTCTTTTTTTAAATCTAGACTACGGTATAAATCAAGAACTCTTCAGTAATTTAGCATCTCGAAACTGCTTGGGGCACTGAAAAGTTTAAGTGACTCTCTCAAATCCAGTCTGTGTCATTTGCAGTACGTGAACTGGGAATTAAGAATACCTGAGTTCAAGCCCCACCTCTGACACTTCCTAGCTATGTGACCTGGGGACAAGTCATTTAACCCTATCAGCCACGGCCTCCTCATCTGTAAAATGGGAATGGTAAGAGCATCCACCTCAAAGAGTGGCTGTGAGAATCAAATGAGATCACATATATCTATACCTATATAGACACACATACATAAAACTTTGTATACATTAAAGAGCTATATAAATTATCAATGTTAGAATAAAATAAAGTTATTAGCTATTAGTATTATTACAACACAATGCCTCTCAATCGACAAGTAGTATAGGCTTACTAGGCTCAGTGAATATTGAGTGTTAGGCCTGGGGTCAGGAAGACTTGAGTTCAAATCCAACCTCAGACACTTACTAGCTGGGTGACCTTGAGAAAGTCACTTAACCTCTAATTGCTTTAATCTACTGGAGAAAGAAATGGTGAGGGGCAGCTAGGTGGCACAGTGGATAGAGCACTGGCCCTGAAGTCAGGAGGACCTGAGGTCAAATCCAGCTTCAGACCAAACACTTACTAGCTGTGTGACCCTGGACAAGTCACTTAATCCCAATTGCCTTAAAAAAAAAAGTGAAAAGGTATAAAAGGTACGAAAGAAATGGTGAACCATTCCAGCATCTGCCAAGAAAACCCCATGGACTGAGTCACAAAGAGTCAAACACAACTCCACAACAATAAACAACTATTTATTAAGTATCCACTGAGCTGTTAGCCATGCTTGTTGACTTAATAACAGATCTTTGACAAAGAAAGACTGTTAAACTAAAACTTCTTGCTTTTTCCAACTGTAAACTCTTCATACTGGCTACGGTAGAGCCATAGGCCCAAACAACTGATCACTCAATGAGAGAGAAATGTTCACTAGGTTATTTTTGTTACTCTTTGAGTTCCTTCAATGAATCTCTGATCTCATCAATGCTGGAGGGAGAGAGGACAGCCTCCAGCTATTCATTCCATACACCATTCATGCCCTCTCATCCAGTGACTAGTCAATTTCCTACTGGGGAACCATGTCCTGGGGTCCTTTCTCTAGTTCTCCTGACACTGCATGGAAACCAGTGAAGCATGTAGGCTTGCTTGCTACCTGATGTGCCCACCATCTAACTAGCCCACCTTCTTTTTTGATCAGACACCTCTCTGATGACATCCTTCCCACTGCTTCTTGGGAGTATTTCTTGAATCCAGCATGAACAACAGCACAGACTCCACAGGGTAGGGAACCACTGCGGCATACATTGGTAGCTACTGCAGCCCTAGGAACTCTCAGAAGCACTATAGACATCTCTTTCTTGTTAAGTTGCCAATCTTGAATAGAACACCTTCGAAGAACACAAGGATCTGAATCAGTCTTGGAGTAGGCCTCAGCACTTCACACAGGGCTTGGAATCTTGATGACTAGATGATTCCCCGGTGCCTAAAGGCTTTAGAATATGTCTCCTTGCCAAAGAGGGAAAAAAATCCCAAATTATGAGCAGTTCTCTTCTTTCCAAGAGTGGTTTTATTAGTAGCACATTTGTTCATTTTTTCATTCATTCATTCATTCAACAAATACTTAGTGCATATTACACGGAAGACACTGCATAATCATGTGAAGGTAGACTAGCTTAAAATGACAAAGATTTTCTGGGACTGTTGAATGAATTTTTAGTTTTATATTTTGGTGAGCATTCTTTTCCCTCTTTCGTACCAAATCTACTTTTGCAAATTTTGACACACTGGGCTTTCATAATAAAAAACCAAGTTTCATAATCTGCTTTGACCACTCACCACCTTACATACCATGGACCTAACAAAAATATTCACAGCCAGTATATCAAAGGAAGTTTGAGGTGATCAAAGGGTCATGACACATTAGGCAGGAGGCTTTCAGTTCTAGTTCAGCTATTCACTAGCTGTGCCCCCTCAGGCAAATCAACCTCCTTCTCTGAGCCTTGGTTTTTTCATCTGGAAAAAGAGCAAGTTGGACCAGATGATGCCTTGGGTCCTTCCAAGTTCTGAATTCATGGTGCAATAAATATTGTCCCCTTCTTTTAAGCAAATCCATGTTAAATCATTGCTTAACTTAACATCGCTGTTACATATGTCTGCATAAACTTTGGATATACATTTCTGTACATATTATCTACCTTAGTAGGTTATACATTACTTGACAGTAGGGATCCTTTCGGTTTCATCTTTGTATCCTCAGTGCCTAGAAGACACTAGGCCCTTAATAGATATTTAATAACTGATCGTTTGCTACTGAGAGAGCGTCAGGATTTCTGTCCATTCTGATGTCTTTCGTTTTCTTCTTTTTTTACAAATAGAAGGGCCAAGAGTAGAAAGAAAGTTAATCTCCCAGGAAGAGATTCTCTTTGGACTATGTTGGAGCTGATCTTAAAAGGCCAGATCATTTATACAAGTTATTCCCAACCTTTTGCAAAGTGAGATGTATTTTATTACTGTTTATTTAATTTTGTAAAAATTATCTCCTTGTTCCTCTATAGCACAGATTTAGTTTGAAAATTAGAATAAATGCGTCTAATGTGGAAACATGTTTTGCATGACTTCAAATGCATAATGGGTATCATATTTCTTTTGCCTTCTCAATGGGTGGGGGAGGGGCTGGAGGGAGAGAGAATTTGGAACTCAAAATTAAAACAAATTTTTAAAAATTAAAGTAAGTTTGATATTGTTTTGAGAATTTCACAGAACCTCATGAAAAAAACAAGCACTACCTAGGCATACTGCAGAAACAGAACTGAGATAAGGGAACAGGCTGGGGAGAAGGGGAACAGTGGCTTATATATTTGGTAGGATGCAGAAGCTACCTCCCACTAAGGCTGGGACAATAACAGAGGACCCCAAGAACGTGACATTTTAATAATATTTTCATGCTTACAAAGTACTTTGCTCCCCCGGGAGGTTACCTTAGTAATGAGATACCTGGGCTGTAGGGTTAATAATGTTGAACTGAAAGCAGGTAAAGGATGGCAATTTGATAGCACCTAATGCACTTTACAAAGTCCAGAGATGGATACACATATTTGAGAGGTGGAAGCCTAGCACAGAATAGAGAGCGAGAGCATTTGCATGGAACTCAGGAGACCGAAGGCATATGCCCCAGTCTGCTTCCTCTAGAAAGGAATGGGGCTGACCCAGATGGCCTGGAAGGACCCATCTAGCTCTAAAATTGTCTGAATCAATAAGCAATGGTAAACATGACTATTATAGACCTGGGGACAAAGGGCACGCTTCTTAGCTCTGATAGAATATCATCAATCCGTGTTCCTAAACTCTAGGGCAGTTGATCATTTGAGAAAATAGAATAAATTTAGGTAGGGGGCATCTTTTCACAGTTAAGTTCTGGATAAACCCATTCTGAATGTCTGGCTCAAAGCTCCTCAGTCCACACAGCTGCAGAGATGAGAGCCAAGGAAGGACCATAAGTTTTCTGTGGAAAGCCTGAGCAAATGCCACTCTGAGGAGATGGCCTGGAAATCCTGCACTAACTACAGAGCATATAACTGTCGGGCATACTGGGTAGGCGTAGGGAGGAGGAGCACCAGGGCCCCACCTAACCTGGGTGCTGGAGTGGGGGTGGGAGATTTTTAGAGAACACTGTGAGGTTCAGGAAACCCAGCAAGATGATAGCCCCAAATATCAAGATGCTGAATTTTCAGAAGCGGGAAGGGACTCTGAATTGTTTGATCGGAGTACTTTGTCTTCTATACAATCTCAGTGACCATTCTGATCTAATCACATGCACTCAAGTCCAGCTGCAGTCACCCACAAACTCATCAGATGGAGCTTTTCAAAACGTATTTGTTACAAAGTAAACTTGACATTCATATTTTATAAAGCAGAGTTCAGCTGTGGCTATAATGTGGTGTTCCACTGGCTGCCCCCATTCTGTATTTCAAATTTGTGGAGAATTTATTTCCACAATTTCTACATGTAATATAAATGCTGGGAAGGAGGTCTGAATGCATTACTTCCTAACATTTCAAGAACATATGGCAAGTACAAAGTGTTTTTTGTTTGTTTGTTGTGTTTTTTTTGGACAACGGACTTTTAATAAACCACATATTAGATATTACAAATTTTTCTCCTTTTTCCAGATTCAATTTTTTTTTTTTGGGGGAAGAAGGGATTACAGGTGACAATCCAAGGAGAAGACACAAAACAGGAAAGTTAATGAATGTCTGCACATATATGTGCAAAATATAACTAAATCAAAAGCAGAAGTCAAATGACTTCAAATATCATTTAAAACTGTGCTAGTACTATAAAATGATTTTTAAAAACCTCTTTGCATAAAGGTCTTCACTAAAGCATCATAGAAAAATTCAGGGTAGCAGGAGTCCACAAATCCAACAGCTGTCAGTACTCGAGAATTACTTTCTCAACATAAGAGACTCTCCCTAGCAATAGAAACATCTGATGTGGGACTAGGAAGGCAAGAATTTGCTTGCAAAAAAAAGGGCTTAAATTAAAAGGAAAAAAATGAGCACGAAATGCTTCCTTAATAGATAATTTTGCAGATACAGTTTCTAGTTATACACTACAGACTGGTTCATATAAACTTGGTAATTATTAACTGTAGCCAAAAATGGATAAAGAGACCACAAAAATATATTATTGTTCTCAACAAAGGAGGAGAGAACGTGAATGTTTTTCCCCTAGCCATGATCTCCAATTTGCTTATTATTAGAGAAGAGGGGAGTAAATACAAAAGCCGGCTATTTCAGCCTAGCAGGGCTGGCCAGGGAAAGAATGCCCATTCAGAACTCTTCTGACTGGGTGTCTAATGAGCAGCAATTAATTCATCTGATTGTATTTCGAAATGCCCAAAGACTCCATTCACATCAAAGAAAAATGTTCAAGGCTTTTTATCATTGTTCATTCTAAAAGGTACAGAACTATATTTAGCCCTCTGTAATTGTCAACAACGTTTTTAAAAATATCATTGTGGGGCACATCATAAAGGATTGTCGAACCAGGACATGAGAGCTGTAGGCATGCTGCACTGCTTTCCTGTAATGAGCCTGGGACCCCAGATTCGAATTAATATTAACAGTGGATGCTGAAGAAAAGCTTCCATTTACCCACTATCTGGGGAATATCTTCCTGTAGGTGGCTTTTTTACCTGA